AACCCAACCCAACCCAACCCAACCCAACCCAACCCAACCCAACCCAACAGGTACATGTCTCATACTGAGATAGGCAACACAACTTCTTAAGTTATATTTGGGGATTATTGCCTGGGGATTTTAGATTAACCTGTAGCAGCTAGACTTTCATCTGACCTTGATTTACTGTACTTTTCTAGACCTGAGTCCAGAAGCATCTTTATCAGATTTATTGTGCACGAGTAGACCAGCTATAAAAGATGGAGATAGATAACCAAGACCGGAGAGAGGAAAACAGCAGGTGTAGTCAGGATTGCAACCTTCATAAGAATGTGATACTTAGGACTGGGCACAGATAATGGGGACTACCTTTACAGCCTGAGGTCTCTTCTCTCTACAAGCTCATCAGGGTGAGATAAAAGAGCACGGCAGCTACAGTGATGCCAAGAGACTAAGACAGGAAGCAGAAGACCATGCAGGCCCCCACCCCACCCTACTCCAGCAAGCAGTTCATCTGAAGAGTTTAGCAACGTGGCTAGGGTACAAGGCCTGGCACCCCAAGCACCCAGCCTCACAGCCCCTACAGCTGATGAAGGCTTCATTCCTTATACGTGCCACTCTTAATTCCCTGAGGCTAGACCTATTTCCCTGTCTCTAATTTTGACGCAGAACTTATGGAATTATGTCTTTTTAAAAAAACAAACACAACTAATGTTTCCTCCCTGTAGTTTTCAAGTCCCGCTCCCCAAGTTCCCACCTACCCTCTCAAACTTCTGACCTGGAACTGGATGGGATGAGCCACACTCCTGGACCTCTGCACCTGCTTCCCATGATCATTGGTGCTTCTCCAGAAACTTCCCCTCCCTCTTGGCCCAGACCCCTTGTGCCCTGTGTGTGCTGCATAGTGAGAGCCTCTGCTCAACATGGTATTCTGATGCTGAAAGCCTTGACATACACATACCCTCAACAATGGCGGCCCAGAGCCTTGTGTGATGGCACAACCCAGCTCCTACTGTGTAGGGAGTTTATCTGGCAGCGGAGGGGGGAAGCATTACACCGGGGACAGGGCCCCTGTTCAGAGGTCGAAGGCAGGAAGCACGCCTGAAAAGAACCAGGATGTGATGCGTCAGAGAAGAGGTGGGAAGTAATGGAGCATGGCAGAAAGCCTGCCGGACATGCCGGTCTTCTCTTGCTCTGGTAAGGTTCTGGTGGGAGGGGTGAACAGCAGCACTCTGGGTAAGCTCCGCTGTATCTCCCCTCTGCAAAACAGCAGACATCTGCACATGATCACACACATGTCATAGTGAGCCTGTAGGAGTCAAAGGATCACTTGTGGACCACTGCTTTCCTCCTTCCACCATGTGGACATCTTTCTGAATGTGCTTAGGGATGCCAAGGAAAAACGTTCTGTTGTTTCATGAGCCAGACTGTTAGGGCTCTTGCAAAGTTTTCTATCCATGCACAGTGCTCAGCAGAGGCAAGAGCGGTAGCAAAGGTGGGCTTGCCGCAGACTTGTTGAAGGAGCAAGCAAACAAGGCTGATCCTTAGTTTTAGAAAGCACGATATTGCATGGTGCGTGTGTTAATTTGTTCACATATTTGTTTTGGGAAATCACAATTCTCACATCTGCCCGATATACATATGTCTTAGGTTATTTATTTAAGCATTCTGATGCTGGGTAGTTTAAGATATTTTAATTTGCTTTTATTTTATCTGCAGTTGGAGTGGCATAGATGAAATGGTTCTTTGGTGCCACAAAAATTTCCCTGGCTAGACACTTCATCACCAGGACACAGAACCAGGGAGACTCAGGAACACACTTGCTTTTACTGAACTAGTAGCGACACCCACCTTAATTTTTCCCCCATCTTTTACGTGACAATTTACTTCTTCTTTCTAGATTCCTGTAAACTTGGGGGTTGTGATCACCTGGCTTTCTCATTTACCAAAGTGACATTGGCTTGCTGCAGTCTGAAAGATGACTGCCTTCCCAATCTATGTAATCTCAAAATTGAACCAATTGTTCCTCCTCCTCCTCGCCTGATCTACTCTCCAAGAAGGGGGAAGGGGTTTTCTCAAAGGATAGGGGCACCATGGACGCTAGGGGCAATGGCCTTACAACTGTTGATAATTGGCAGCACAGTGTTAACTCAGATTTAGAGACATTACTGTCCAGCACCCCAGCACATGAAGAAAATGGCTCAGCGGAGGTTTCTGAATGATTAAGAGCTGAAGCGAAACTGTATCCAGTTCTTTTGAAGTCCGCTGTGGTTGGGCTGCAGAATCGTGGGGAAGGGAGTGGGTCTTGGTGGCTCTTAAGCATCCCTTCCACGGATACATTAAGTATCTGCTTGCTGTGTCTCGCACGCTATTTTAAGCGCTGGGGATTCCATGATGGAGGGTGCAGGGGAGGGAGATCTGTTGTTGTGGAGTTTTCATTCTCAAAATTCAAGTACTTAGCTTAACCATTCTCACAAGCTCACAGCAACCTGAGTAGAAACATCTGGGTCCCCTAAGGGACAGCATCTCCTCACCCTGAGCTCTCCTGAGTGAGGGAAAACTCTTTTCTGCAGCGGAAAGAGGGGAGAGGCAGAAACCTGTCGTGCCTTCCGCCTTCCTCTGCACCGCCAGCTCGCCTGGGATTATTAACAGCCGCCTCGCTGCCCAGTCCCGCAGGCCGCCGGAGGAAGGATCTGCCTCCCGCGCCATCCTCCGAGGAAGGAATGCGGAGAGCTGATGAGAAGCCCTCCCGGGCAGGCGGCGTCTTCTCTCCGGCTAGGGGCGGGGGTGGGGAAGGGGTAGGGGTCGTGCAGCGAGCCGCTCTCCCTTGCCGTCCTATTAAACATTTCAGCCACACGCTCTTTGCAGCTCCTCGGAGGCCACTGCGGCGGCCCTGCCCCGCCCGTTAGCCCAGACAACAGAGCTCCACTGCAGCTTCGGAACCCTGTTCCCTTTCTTCTTCACTTCCTTGTTGCCATGGGGACACACGTCATTTACGTGCCGTGCGTCGCCTTGGAAACGGGGGAGCATCCGCGGCGCTGCCGGGAGACCCGCCCCTGCCGCTCCAGCCGCACTCGCGGGCGCTGCTGGTGGATGGCCGGGGGGAGTCCCGCGACCCACTCGCTGCGGGCCGTCGCCGTCTCGACCCCGATCCGTCTGCCAGCGCCTCTGTGACCCGGGGAGCCTGCGGGCACCCTGCCGGTGGCTGCAGGGAGGACGGCGGGGACCTAGGCACCATCCGGGAGGCGAGCTGGCAGGGCACTTTGGCCCCTGAGCAAGCCCGAGGACGCTGGCCCCGGGACCCTCGACGGGTCTTCGCCCGTCGGCTCTCCTCAGCCCTTCTTGATCCTCCCGCGCCCTCCGCGCGGGGCCGCGCTCTTCCCGTCGGCTCCCCGCCCCTCTAGGGAGCCTAGGTGTCTCTGGGCTCCACCCCGTCCCTCCCGGGACCTCTCCCCCTCCACAACCTTCCCCCACCCTGGAGGCCGGGCTGGACACGACCCAGAGCTGCCACCGCCCGCTTCTGCCACTCCATGGAGGACAGTCTGCTGGAGATGATGACCAAGGACGGCGGCGACATGCCGGCGCCTCTGGAGGTGTCCACGGTGCCAGCCGTGGGGGACGTGCTCTCTGGGGAGTATAACGGTGGCATGAAGGAACTCATGGAGCACCTCAAGGCCCAGCTGCAGGCCCTGTTTGAGGACGTGAGGGCCATGAGAGGGGCGCTGGACGAGCAGGCCTCGCACATCCAGGTTCTGTCGGACGACGTGAGCGCCAACCAGCGGGCCATAGTCTCCATGTGCCAGATTATGACCACCGCGCCCCGCCAGGGAGGTCTGGGCGTGGCCGCCGGCAAGGGGAGCTCCCCGAGTGCTCCCCACGAGCCGGAGTCACCTTCGCCCGGGATCGGGGACGGCGGCTCGCTGGGTCGCGATCCCAATGAGGAGGACGAGGACGACGAGGAGGAGAAAGGGACGCCCAGCCCCGCCACACCCACCAGCCGCTGCGAGCGCGCTGGGAGTCCCTGCGCAGATCTCCTTGGGGAGGATGGGCCACTTGTGGAGCCCCTCGACCTGCCTGACATTACCCTGCTGCAGCTGGAGGGCGAGGCCTCTCTGTGAGGGGGACCCCGCCGGGGCACCGGCTACCCGGGCTGGCTTTGGGTTTCCAAGCGCTTAACGGGGCGGGACTGAGCAGTGCGGCGCCGTGTTCTTCACTCCGAGCGAGGTCCTTGGAGGTCAGGGAGAGAGACTCCCTCGCAGAAGGATCTGTAGGGTGAAGGACTTTGGAAGCCTCGCGAATTCCGCCCAACCATGCATCATAACAAACTGCAGAAAGGTGAGGTTCCCCGACAGGAAGTGCCCATCTCTGGACTCCCATCCATCCCCTTACCTTGCCCTTTTCCCTCTTCCCAGGAAACAGGAGGACCATCGAATTATGTAAATAAACTTCTGCCTTTTCTATTCTGAAAAAGGACTCACCTAGGACTTTGGCAAATAATCTCTATTTACCTAGAAATTAAGGTTTCGGGGTATTCTGTTCTGGCAACAGGAAATTTACCCTTTTGCTGAAATCCCAAGACAATACAGCGCTCTGCGGAAGCCTCTCTCCCTCACAGATCTTTGCGGCTGCCGATTTACGGTAAAGGAAGCTTGAGGGAACTGCAGCCCTAAGGAATCTGGGTGCGTGGGGTCCCCAGGACCCCCCAGGCTGGGAGGAGCTGGCTATGAGCGTGCATGAAGACCCAGTAGCTCAAGCTCTGGCATTTCGCATGCAGAGCGGACCCTGCCCTGTCACCGACTTCATCCGGGACTGCTTTTCCAGTCACCTGGGCCTGGGGAACTAGGCGCCCAGTTCACAGGCTGAGACCTGGGGCTGCTCAGCAACAGCCCAGATTTAGGGGACTTTGAGGAACTCTTGAGGGGAGGGACGGGGAGGGCTGCAGCCAAAACCACAAAAAAACCTGTCTCTTCTGGCTCTACCGGCTTAACCTCAGCTCCTTTTTCTGTCGGTATGTCACTGCCCTCTGCTTTTCGGTGTCGCCTCCATCGCGTCTTGTGTTACCTGTGTCCACTTGTGTAGTAGTGTGTGAGCCCTCAGGGGCAGGGCTTGTGGCTCTAGTATTAGGTTCAAGGGGCTTCAGCTGTGAGCCCCAGGCTCTCCTGGCGCTCTCTCCCCTCCCTTTCCCCCTTCGCCCCACTCCTCAACCAGGGCATGGAGCATGTGGCTGTCCTGAGGTCCCTTAACCGATGTGCCTCCCTCCTACCTTCTGAAGTGGTGACTTTGTGTGCCCTTTCTCTGCTTTCCTTGGTGTCAACCTTAATAAAAAAAGGCGTCATCTCCCCTCTTGCTAATTGGTATTAAGGGGATTTAAGGGCGGGGCTTCTGGGCCAGGTGTGGATCAGGGCTTAGCAGGAAATTTAGGAACCATGCCTTTCCCCCTCTCTCCTTGTCTCCAGTCCCAAAGAGTCAACTGACCTTGTCGTGATTGTGATGAGCATTTCCAGCTCTGCCTGCTCTCCCTTCTTCTCTCCCTGGACCTTGACCTAAAGCGGACCGGGAATCACAGAGGTCTGCATGGAAACACCCAGCTAACAAGAGTTTTTGGTAGCCAGCGCTCCACTTGTTTTCAGTGAAGCATGCCCCCTCATCATCCCTGCCACGCACGGGGGCGGCTTCTGAGCCAGAGCCCTGGCACAGCAGAGTGACACCTGTTCCAGGGAGGGGTGGGAGTCACTGCTCCGGAGGGCTTGCCCAGGGTTTCTGGAGTGGGAGTGACACATCACTGAGGGAACCACTATTACTGCCTCAGGCCTTGGGTGAAGACCACAGCAAGGTGTTCCCTGGAGAGTCAACGCTGACGTCATCTCTAGGCAGCTCCCCTGGGTGAGGGAGAGTTCCTGAGGATGCCCCTGAACAAAGGTTGAGAGCCACTAGGCTGGGTTGCGCTCTCTCTCCCTCTCCTCTGTGTGTGTGTGTGTGTGTGTGTGTGTGTGTGTGTGTGTGTGTGTGT